TGTGTCTCTCATATTCCGTGTTTGGGCTAAATGATGATGGATTTGCTATGGAATCCAATATGTTAGGAACTTGAATTTTTAATTGTTTGGATAATTAAAGATTACATTTTTATATCAATTTTCTCTTCTCTAGAACTGTTGGCCTGGAGGGTTAACGGCAGAGGCATGGAATCCTACAAAACAATCCTTGTAGGTGTGACTTTTTATACCATTTGTTGGTTAAATCAATGATTCTACAGTGAAAAATAATAAATTAATATTAAATTTTAAGAACAAAAATATTCCATCTTAGCTTATATATAATGAATATTAAAAACTTATTATAAGACAATGAAGATAATAAATTTGTTACCGAGATGATTCAAATAGTATTTATAATATTTGTTCTTTGATTTTTTTTTTATTTAAGGAGTTAAAGTTTTTTTTTTTTATTTACATCGAAGTAAAGAGGAAGTCTTTTACATCAATATTTATATTGATGTAAATATTTCTTTATAAGATATTAAATTAGATTTGATATTTTATTAGATTTATAAGTATTTAGATCTGAAATGTAATCAAGTAAGAAGAAGTTGAGTTTAATATCTTATTAAAAATATAATATCTAGGCTTGAAACAAAGCTAAGCTAAAAGGAACTAAATCTAATATTTTATCAAACACACAAACAAATATTTGGACATGGCATGCAATGGAACAAAATAAAAAATGTATATATAGGTTGAACATCTTTCTAACTTTCTTTTCAATGAATTTTGATCTCTTTTTAAGCTTTTATAATGTATCGTCTTCTTCCTGGATGCTCTTTCCAGGAGACATGGGAATTTTGAGTAAATGGATTTTAGTATCCATTATGCTTATCTATCGAAGTGTCATGAATGGTTTGGCAAAATGCATCACGCACAAAGTCAAAAGTATTTAACTCGTGAATCCAGTTTGATAACCACAAATACAAAAAGGTAACCATAAATCTCTGCTACTGATCATTCTACTAAAAACTAAAGTCCACCCTCAAAAAATCAAACTCGTCGCATCTCGAAACTCCAAAGTCTAGGTCTTCCACCCCTCCTTCACTCTTTTCTTATCATATAGTGGTCACATT